AGTAAAGGAAAGGAAAGGAAAGGAAATGAAAGGAAAGGAAAGGAAAGGAAAGGAAAGGAAAGGAAAGGAAAGGAAAGGTAAGGAAAGGAAAGGAAAGGAAAGGAAAGGAAAGGGGAAAGGGAAAGGGAAAAGGAAAAGGAAAAGGAAAAGGAAAAGGAAAAGGAAAAGGAAAAGGAAAAGAATGGGCAAGGCAATCCAGTATGAGGAGTGGGGTCCCAAGAGCTAGCCAAAGCATTATGGACAGCCCCTGCTCCCACTGTTAGAAGTCACACAAGTAGACCCAGCTACACACTGCCACATATATGTAGAGGGCCTAGGTTGGTCCCTAGATTGTTGGTTCAGACTCTGAGTTCCTATGACCAGGTGAGTTGTTTCTGTGGGTGTTCTTGTGATGTCCTTGACCCCTCCCCCTCCTACAATACTTCCTCCCTGTCCTCAGCAGGATTCCCCGAGCTCAATCTATTGTTTGGCTTGTGGGTCTCTGTATCTGTTTCCATCTGTGGTGATATATTATTTATGATTTATTGACATTTGCCTGAGGATTCAGAAGCCAAAGTCAGCCACAAGCTATAGAAGTCAGGGGGTGGTGGTGGTGGTACCCACCTTTAATCCCACCACTTGGGAGGTAGAAGTAGACAGATCCCTGTTAGTTCAAGGCCACCCTGAGGTACAAGAAAAATATCCAGCCCTAAAGAGAAGCAGCTCACACAAAGATGAGCTCAGTGCTTGAGATCACACGCCTTTAATCACAGACTAATGAGAGGTATTTAAGACAGGAACAGGGTCTCAGAGCTGGCATTCATTCTCCAGCAACATTGAGGATATGAAGGCATTGATTGGAGTCTCTAGCCTTGTTGAGGAGAGCATAGCAGTCTGGGTGAATCTGAGGAGCAGTGAAGTTGGGAGCAGTCTGAGATTCGCCCCTTTCGTCTGAGCCGAGGTAGAGGTAAAAGTAGTGGCCAGCTGCTTTGCTTTTCTGATCTTCAACCTGAAGCTTGAACCCCAATATCAGTCTCTGGACCTTTTATTTTTCGTGTTGCATCCGTCTGTCACTGGTGACAATTGAGGGAGTCACCAATCTGATCACAGGAGATTGTCAGTTCAGGCCATATATCCACTATTGCTAGGAGTCTTAGCTGGGGTCATCCTTGTAAATCCTTGGGAGTTTCCCTTGAATCAGGTTTCTCCATGGTTCCAAATGCCCCCCTTTCCAATCATCTCTTTCAGTACTCTCCCCCTCCAAACACCCCACATCCCAATTCCTCAAGTTCCCATTCCCACCGGACCCAGTCTACCCAGGAGATCCATGCATCCCCACTTGGGCCCTCCTTATTACCTGGTGTCTCTGGGGCTATGGATTATAGCATAGTTATTCATTACTTTACAGCTAATTCCACTTATTGGTGAGTGCATATGATATTTGTCTTTCTCAGTCTGGCTTACCTCACTTGGGATGATTCTTTTTTCTAGTTCCATTCATTTGCCTTCAAATTTCCTGATGTCACTTTTTTTTTTTTTACAGATGAGTAATGTTCCATTGTATAAATGCACCATATTTTCTTCATCCATTCTTT